CCTCTGGGTGTTAGCATGACGAACACTGGCACTGAATCTTTGTGATGAGTGTTTTAGAAGGCTCAGGTTGCAAAGGTAGGATGCTGGAAAATGGTTAGATAAACAGGCATTTAGACTGTAGCTCTGGTGAACTGGCACGAGTCTACCTGTTTCTTCACCTTTGAGATTGTCATGAAAATTTGCAACTGGTCCATGCCAACTGAGGCAAGAGGTTAAGATGCAAAGCATGGAATTACAATGGGCAAATGTTAATTCACGTGCATGAGGTGTCCCAGCCAAATTGGGGCAACCTGAATGTGGTTTTACACACAATTCTTATCCCCTTCAAACATCCAAGTAATACATGATTTGACTAATCACTTACACCCACACTACTGATTATTAATAACAGTAAATCTCTGCAAAGCACCTGCATTTTTGCAGCATTCTTACTGCTTATCTGTTGATCCAGACATCCCTGGAGTCAGTCTTGCTATAATTACTTGCTGTGATGCCAGAAGATGCTGGGAAGATGTGTTCTAGGATGCTGCTGTTATCTTGGTTGTCAAAGTCCATATTTCCAGGACTAGGTCACCCTTTAGTTTCTTTTATCTAAGAAGGAACAATACTAACTTCAGTAAATTTTCACAACTTTGTGACAATACAGTGTATTATGTGAACTAATATATGTAAACAAAATTAATACACTGTTACACTATAAAGATTGGTTGATATAATAGTCAAGGAAGATAATTTTTAGAACAACTGATACACATACTTAATGAAAATAATAATTAAAAATACAGGTGGGTGAATAGTCAACTAATGTAGATTGGGGTTTTTCTCCTCTCTGGCATTTATTTCCATTAAAACTCATAAGCAAAGCCCTAAGAAGAAATGAATGATGGCAAAGAAGGAACAAAGCAGAGAATAAGCCTGGTCTGTAAGCACCACACTGCTTGTTTCAAGAGAGAATGGAGACCCAGAAGCCTTCTTGCCTGCAAAAAATCTCATTATTTGTGATAAAGATTAAAACCCAAAAAATTTAAATGCATGACTGTATAATGGTGGCTGCCAAGAGCCAGTGTGGAGACTGTAAAGGTGCAGGCTCTGTTTTTTCACATTCCATCTTGAGCTGCCCCTCAGTCCTTTGCACTTCTGCGCTTCCCCAAATTATCTTCAGTTATCTCTTATGAATTTTCTGTAAGCTTCTCCTCTTTCTGTGCCAGGCTTTCTTAGGGAAAAAATACCTTTGTACTTCACCAAACACAGCAACAAACAAAACAAGGCTTTGGGTATGGAGTATCCAGAAGGATATTATAAGGTTTTAGTTTACTGATCTGTATGATTATTTTTCAGAAATCTGTGAAAATGTGCTATTTCAGACAGTTGCAGTGATAAATCTGCCCTTGAAAAAAATCTCCTTGAAGATTTTATCCACTAAATATTTCTGCTTCAAAACTGCTTGTCAAACATGTCCTCTCATGTATAAATAGTACCCTTCTTATTCTTTCCTCTGCCTGCTATTCTATTTGCTGCTCCCAGCTCCTCCCTTTCTTCTTCACATCCCTTTCTTTCCTTGCCTGTCTTTTATAGTTGCTCTGTGTGTATCTTGCTTTCTCTACCTTTGTCTTCCACCTCTCTCACTCTTATCCTCCTTCTTCTCTCCTTTTTCTTTGAAACTCTATTCCCCTTGTCTTAGCCTCACCCCTCCCTTTTATCCTCCTCAGATATTTTCTCATGGGTGGTTTTCTTCTCTTTGGTTTGTGTGGTCTGCCCTGCACATTCCAATTCTTTTCTCTTCAAGACCTAACACGTTTCACACAGTGAGGAGAGTATTTGAGAAATGAATTATGCTTTGCTGCTCTGACCATTGTTTTGATAACTGAAACTTTAAATATTACGAGATCTATTTGTGTGTCTGGACATTTGAAACTTACTTTTGTGTGGAATTGTGTCTATAAAATGAATGTCTGTGTAATCTGGAGTACGATTGTCTTTATCAGTGTCTCCAAACTTTCTTGATCATGTATCTCTCTTGGTAAAAGGCTTTAACATACACCCCTGTTATACATATATTTACTTATTTATAAATTATGCACTACTGAAGTTCTGTTATTTTGCCCCTGAACACCAATGGGTTGCTTTGCATACTCCTTTGGGGTGGATGCACCCCACTTTGGAGATCACAGCTCTATATCACGCAAGCCACACTGTCGCATGAGACATGCTGGTTTTGTCACATTTAAGATTCTCCTGAGAATCCCATCCATCTGTGGTAGTTTGGGATTGAGAGCTTTTCCTTCTCTGTTTCTGTCATGTCAGCTGTGGTTGTTTATATATTGAGAGGGCTGAGTTTTTCTGGTAGGGTGTGATAATTTGCCTAGCAGAGGGAGATTTCAGAAACTGGAATTTTTTTTTTTTTTTTAAAGATACAAATTCTGCACCATTGCAAAATGCTGCAGCATTGGAGAAAAAACATTTAAACGCTGACGTAAAAATTAATCCCTCGTAAAAGACTGAGTGTCATCTCGCCTTTCGCCAGGTGAGGTTTTAAAGAGGGTTGGGATGTTGCATGTGCACGCGTGCACAGGAACTTTTCTCAGACTTCCCCATTCAGTGTAGCAGTTCGCTCATGCTTGGCTTTCATTCCACAAGAAGGAGGAGGAGGAGGAGGTTTTGGGGGGAATATTCCGTTACCATAAAGGGGAGGAAGTGTTTCTGCAGCTATTGAACAAAGCAGCTAGTTAACCTCTTTCCCGACCCCGGTGCAATGGTACAGTCCCACTGCTCCTTTCTAGGGGCCAGATGCTCCTCATAGTAGTAAAATGAGGAAGAAAGGAAAACATATGTGCAAAAATTTACTACCCAGCTCAGTAAAGACCAGATTCAAGGAGGAGCTGAATACCTGCGATTTCTCCTACAGTAAATTTCTTTTAGAACCAGATTGGGGGGGGAGGGAGAGGGAGGGAAGTTGGAAGGAAAGAGGTCTGTTGTAATTGGTGTCTAGAAACCCCCACAGAGAGGATTAAGAAAGAAACTATGCTGTCTGGGAAGAAGTAGGTATTTGTGTTACTCTGCATATATACAGAACTGCTAGAAAAGGCTGTGTTCTGTGGAAACTAGCCCTAGCTTTTTGAACACTGAGATGTGTCACTGTCTGCTGATGGTACTTGTTTTAAGCAGAACTTTATTCAATGCGCTTTTTCCTTTTGTATGTGTACCAGTGTCTTAAGTATAAGGGAATCATGGTCACTTTCTATTGTGCGTATTGTGAAGCTCGTACTTCAAACCAAAGAGAGTTACTTTGGGAACAGAAGCCCAAAATTCTGCTCTGTGTTATCACAGAAGTTTTTATGAATTGTAAGGCACTGAGTTTTGATATCTTTTCCATTCAGTGCCAATGCATGCTGTGTTTAGCTCACTGCATCCTCCCTCATTTTCTGCCACTCGGCTGTGTAACTCACTGAATGGTAGGAACGAGCAGAGGGTAATGCTGTATGCCTCATCCACTAGCATTGCTCTGTATTCAGCCCAGTGACATTTCCAAAATGAGTAGGTAGACTCTTGTTCTTGCACTAGCAGGAAACAGGAGACACCCAGAAAGATTTGTCAAAAAAGATGCTTTTAGTCCTTTGTTTCCACATCGGAAGGTGAGGTTCTCTCCTTTGAAGAACTGAGAAATCCCATTTGAGTCACCCTCACAACTGAGGTTTGTCAATACCTAGAATCAAGGAAGCACCTCGCCTCTGTGATGTTTCTCAGAATCACAGCATGGGTCAGGTCAGAAGGGATCACGGGAGCGGTCATCTGCTCCAACTTCCCTGCTCAAGCAGGGTCATCCCAGAGCACACAGCACAGGATTGAGTCCAGACAGTTTTGGAATATCTCCAGTGAGGAAGACTCCACAACCTCTCTGGGCAATCCATCCCAGCGCTCAGTCACCCGCACAGTAAGGAAGTTCTTCCTCATACTCAGCTGGAACTTCCCGTGCATCAGTTTCTGCCCATTGCCCTGTGTCCTAGTGCTCGGCACCGCTGAGGAGGGCCTGGATCCACCCCAACACCCTCCCTGCAGATACAGACACTGGTGAGCCCCCCTCAGACATCTCTTCTCGAGGCTGAACAGGCCCAGCTCCCTCAGCCTTTCCTCATAAGAAAGGTACTGTTAATAATCTTTGTAGCCCTCCACTGGACCCGCTCCTGGAGCTCCGTGTCGCTCTTGGACTGAGGAGCCAAGCACTGGACACAGCACTCCAGGAGCGCTTCACCAGGGCTGAGTGGAGAGGAAGCATTGGAGATGGAGTACAAGGAAGCACAGATGCACGAACTTGGGGCTGGGTTATGCAGACCAACAGGAGATGGCACACAGTAACACGGATTTCAACAGCGTCAAGAGAGACTGACCAAGGATCAGTCTTGTGCGGCCACGCTGTCCTTGCTGACCTGACCCTGGCAGGGGCTGGGGCAGGGGCTTGAGCAGAGGTTGGGGCGGGCACAGCTGCGGCCACGCTCGGGATCCCCGGAGAGCCGGCGGTGAGGAAAGACCCTTTTGGAAAATCCCCTTCTCGAAGAGGCTGGGTGGGGGAAGCGGGAAGGGTTCGGCAGCACAGCCTGGGATCGCGGAGGGAAGCCGGTGCCGCCCAGCGACCCGCCCAGCGGAGCGGCTCCGAGGGGAGGGGAGGCTGCCGGCGGCCGGGGGAGCCGGCGGGGCGTGCGGCACAGAGGATGGCGATGGCCGCGGAAGTGACAGGAGTGGCTGCAGCCGCCTCGGAGTGCGGGATCCCGCAGCGCCCCCACCCCCATTTGCCGTCGCTGGGCTTCTGCGAAGGAAAGCAGGTCGGGGGGGGCGGAGAGAGAATGGAGGAGGGGCGCGGCGAGGAAGGGAGGGAGGTAGGGGGGAGAGAAAGCGAGAGAGAGAGAGAGAGGGAGAGGAGCCCGGAGAAAGGGACAAGGCAGATCTGGGAAGCGAGAGGAAGAGAGACTCCTGCAGGAGGGGGAACCTGGGCGGGGAGAGGACATTCCCAGCGAAGGGCCTGGAGGGGAGCGCAAGGATCGGGACTGCTCACAAGCATCCGACTTGTTGAAAGACGTCGAGCGAGGCCAGAGGCTGTGCCCGGGGCCGGGGGACAAAGCGGCGCTGGCCCGCCGGGATGGTGCAACTCGCGCGGTGAAAATGGTCTTTGTCCAACTTTTCTGATGCCGGGAGGCCGGGCGGCACGGCTCTAGCGGGAAGGGCTCCTGCGAACACCGCTCGAGTAATGCTGGGAAGTGGAGGGGGTGTTACTGGAGTCCTGCACAAGGTACCGCGGCGGGCGGGCGAGGACGGGCATTGTGAGTCCGGCCGCGGCGCTCGGAGCCGGCGGGACGTGGTCGCGGGTACCCGCGGGTCACTGCCATCCGGGGGAGGGGGCACAGAACAAACGAGGACTACTTCGGAAGGGGTTAAAAGTCCGCAGGTGATGTTTTTTTCCTCCTTTCCCGGCGTGAGCTGTCGAAAGGCTGCGTTACCGGGACGCTCCCCCGAGCGCACCTCTGCTGCCAGGTGCCGGCTGTGGGCACGGGGAGGACAGAGGTGGGGAGTCGGGTCACGGCCTCTCCGCTCACAGGGATTACCCCCAGAGCCCTTCCACACGGCCACGGTGCGCTTGGTCTGCTCCCGTGAGCGGTGTTTCCCCTCTCTCTAGCCCCCTGAAGAGCCGTAGGGAAATGCTGCCTTTGAAGTAGGGCTTGATGGATGCTGGTGTGGGTTCCCGATCCTCGTGGAACGACACAGGGGAGGCTGTGTGGCCTTGTCTGTGGGTAGGGTTGCTCAGCGCTCTTGTGGGGGACAGATGGTTGTATGAGTGCTTGTGGCAGAGAAAAGCCATGTTAGGCTATTTTTCAAGGAGATGATGCAAGTTACTACTACTCAAACTAAATAAATCTGTGAATGTGGGAGGGGCTGTTGTGATGGGTAATTTTAATTTTGCCTTTTGTGGGATACACTGAGATGATTTCACTTACTCTGAAGTTTCTCTTGCTGTTACCACACTCATTTGGCTGGGGAGGAGAGTGAGTATCACCTCCCTTTCCTACAGGTTCCAGAAATCAGAGAGTAAAGATGGGGAAGGAAATCTCCCAAGGGGCATCCTTCACTAGCATTGATACCAATTCATGCAGATTCATGGTGGAGTGAGAGGGCAAATGGAAACAACAAAGTCAAGGAGAGTTGGCTGCCACAGCGTACATGTGTTACAGAGGCAAATCTGTAGCCTCAGATGCAATGAAGGAGGAGGCTTCCTTTTTCATTGTTATATGGGTTCTAATCCGAAACATGGAACTGGATGTGGGTACACCTCTTGTTTAGTCAGAGCTGATCCGCCTGCCCTAAGCCATTAATACAAGATTTATTGGCTATTCTTCATTCACAGTTTGAAATAATTCCAACCTAATAATCCTCTTTTGATGTCTCTCCATTTAATTGCAGAAAAAAAATACAGTTTTTCTCTAGAAGTTCACTTGCTAAATTCAACACCTTGCCCTACTTGTGTTTGCTTTACTAATGTATTGGCAGGCTTCAGATAACTGCACATAATTGTATCCTTTCCTTTACTGCTTTTTGCATGTATGCTCTCTTAGCTAAATTACGCATGTGCAGTTTTTAATTCCTTGACTTGTGTGCCCCTCTAGCCACTAAACATTTTTTCTTGACTTCTGAGTTCTCTCCTATTTGACATTCTTGCACTTGCACTGAGCTCCTCAGAATTGTTTGCATGGCTGTGTGTTTTGATACATGGGAATAGCATCACTTTGGGGCACTGGATATTCTATGAAGTAGGATTGTATGTCTTTCTGTTTTCATCACCGAAACCCCACAGAAAGGCATGTTTTCTTGCATTGTTCTGAAGTTCTCAGCTCTTCCAAGCTGTTATCTGTGGCAAGAACAGCTTAGGTTGTGGAGACTTTTTGGAGAGGGCTGGGGAGGAGATGTCTATTCTCTTTTCTTTTGCCCAAGGCTGCTACTGTCTTTGCCTTCTGTATTTTACTTGGAGGCTGACCAATGGCACAGTGTAAATCCTTTTTGGAGGGAAGGCAGCTGGTGGCTCCAAGGAGACAGCTGCTTATTCTCCAGCATGCTCCCATAGGCTGCCAGCAGATGTGTCTGACAAGGGAGCTCATGCCTCAGTCCATTGAGAATTGTCTTCTTTATGCCTGTACAGATGCACTGTGTACATCCCTCTTTGTGCCCAGGTGCAGATGGCTTCCCCTTCTCCCCTCTGATACTGCATGTGCCATATGCAGAGAGTCATGTAAGAGATGAGTGTATTTTCTCCCCCCTTATCTTGTGTGCCTCCAATTAAGACAGATTTGTTTTTTGGCCAATGTTCCTTCCCCTGGATTGTCAGAAGATTTATGCTTGCTTTTTCTCTGGTTCAGGAATGCTTCTCTCTCCAGATCTGCTCTCCCTAAAACCTTGGTTTCCTTGTATTTCATTGTCCATTTGCAGTCCCTGTGCAGAGGGTTAACCTGAAGTCCCTACAGATTAGTGCAGAGTACGTTTGAAGCACACTTAAGGTTACACAATATATTTTTATTTTTCATTTTTGTGGCCATGTTGCATATGTTTACTGCACACATAAACAATAGAAGGTGTAAGAAGTACAAATCTGTGTGTGTGGTCAAGCTAGAGCTTTATAATGTCATTTAGCTACCAAACAAGAGGGCAGTGTCTTCTAAAAAGGATGTTGTCATGAAAAAGTATTTATTAAGAATATTACAGATTGGCTGGTTTTGGTTATAAATGTGACTTTTTTCTAAAAGCTCAAAGACTTATTTCTGTGAGAAGTTGATTAAAGGTTTAGAGGGAAACTGATGATCCTCTATAATATTATCATTATTTAGTCTTGTTTGCTGTTACTTTTGTTCCTTAAATCTGATTTAATACCAGATTAATGTTACATCTTGCTGTTGATTTTGATTTGTTAGCAAGTTTTGTATCACCTTACAGAAATACAGGTAAGGTTTTCTTCCAGCTACTGACTCCACACATTCAGCGGTTTTCCTACTCATTATGACCTTATACTTTAGCTTCTACCTGATAAATCCTGGGCTGGATATCACTCCTCTCTCCATAATTGTTCTTTGGCAGGTAACCATAAAGTGTCATGTGTTTCAGGGGTGTACACAAGTGTAACACAGGCGTATTTTGTAAATAATTCTGTAGATGTTGTACAGCAGCATACTAGCTCTCTTTCTCCAGTGCTACCAACTGTGCTATGCAAATAGACCCCCAAAAGGATAAAAGCTCCTTAATTACTTGTGTCAGCCATAGCAGTCAAACATGTGAGCAGCAAATCCAAGTAAGAAAAAGCCATTTCATGTTGTCACTCTTCTCACACTTGATTTATACAAGGAGTTTTAAACTTAACAAACAACTACACTAGTATTTCCTTCTCAGAGGTGTGTGTTGTGCTTTCAAGAAATACTCCTCTGCCACCAGTAATAAAAATTTATAGGGAGTGTACTGTTAATATATGTTGTGTTTTAAAAAACGCAATTAAAATGTGTGCACTTTTTGGAGATCCTGGCACATTATTTTATACAGAAGGCACTGTCTTGCCTTTTAAAAAGTCACTTAAAAAGAAGCTGATGCTTCTGTCACAGAGGTCCTACTTGAAGATTGTTCTTGAGACCACTTCTGACGAAAGCTCTTCTAGTCACTGGTTTCAATTTTCCATGCCTGCAGAGGCCCCTGTGCATTCTGCTACTCAGACCTGCTTGTCAAGAAGATTTTTGTTGAAACATTTCACATGCACACCCCCACTCCCGTGTGCACGCGCGTGTGCGCATGCTCGTGTGTGCACACAGCTCCGGGCAAGGAGCGGAAAATATGCTGTCCTGGCAGCAGAGAAGATGTTGGGTACCGTAAGAACACAGCCTATCCAGCCTCAAAAGTACAGTCTTACATATGAAAGCTGAATCCTTGAGGTCTTGATTCACCTTAGGATGGAAATTCTCGCCAGCCCAGACCTGCACATTGAAACATACATGACTTCATTTTCAGACAGGCTTTTCTTTTTTTTTTCCCGTCTCCTTAAGCTTGCCAAGTAAATGATTCCTCTGCTGATTCTGCAGTTTCCAAGTACAGTTCTTTGCTCTGTGCCATGTCTCCCGAAAATATCCAACGTGTCTAAATCATGTAATTAAACCCTAGAAGCTAGATACTGAGAACTACTGACTCTTTGTAAGATATTTCTGTTTTAGCATACTGATGTTTCTCCAAGTTACTGTAAAGCTTTCAAAGCTCCCTAAATGACCTGATCTCTCTCCCACTTACTGCAAAACACTCACATGATATGAATCTGCTTGGCCCAGCTGACCACTTCAGAGGCAGTGTGTAGGATACAGACGCCTGTGTGGAAGCCTTTAGCATCAGGCTTACCACAGGCTCTCTCATATCCTGGGTATGTCTGCAAGTGGAAGCATGGTTCCTTGGCAGAACTCTCTTATCTTCTTAACTATTCTCTAAGAAGAGTGGGATGTCCCAAGAGGGACAGTATTACAGAGATTTCTGAGCAGGTTTTGAATAATTTCAGTTTGAAAATTCAAACTGGACTGTTTATGAGACTGTTTGAATTTTCATATGTTAGGTTTCACTCACAGCTAGGATCAATTTCATTCCGGTATGCAGAATCTGGAAGGCTTTCTGCACCAGGAAGATGTTTGAAATTACTCCTTTTTGGGTTTGAGCCAGGAAGAAGCTGCTGGAAGCACAGCTGGATTGGGATGTGTGCCTGCAGTTGTCTCCCAGATGGTCCCTTCCGTTCCTAATGTCAGTAGGCTTTCAGCTGGTGCCAGCAGCAATGGGGATGCAAATATGTAGTGACATTTTCACTTTTCAGCGAGTTTGCCAATCCCGTTTGGTGCATGTGTTGTCCCACACTATGGTATCAGGAATGGAATAGTTCTCTTGAGGAATGTTTGTTTCATTGCTTGTGCAGAGAGGATCTTAGTGGTCTTTTCTTCCGGTATCTAACAGTGTTAGAAATGCATAAAGATGCAGTACCACGTGATGTGAGAACAGATCCTGGTGACCTGAGTATAAATCAGCAGTCTGTTAAAGTCTAGGGGATAGATAGAAGCTTGACAGAGGGAATTTTCTTGGTTTGCACGTGCCTTGTTCTGCTGGGACATGTATGTGGAGTCAGATGCTGAAGAGTAATTACTCTTCATTTTGAGCCTTATTGTAGCTACCTTTTTGCTTGGGGCCCCAGGCTGAGCACCAGAAAGACATTTGGTGAAATAACGTAATGGGAATGAT